ACCAGGGCAGTCTTAAGGAGGGTAGTGTTTCTAATTTGAGTGTCAGAGAACGAATGTCGGTCTTAAGAGATGGAACTAGTTCAGGAACGATGGTGGTTGACAGGAATTTAATTAAGGAAAGTAGTTTGGATTCTTCAAAATATTCTATTCAGGAATTTTCTCGGGCAAAAAATTCAATGAATCGGAGAAGGTTAAGAATGGCTCCATGTCATTCGGGTAGTGTGTGTTCGGAGGGTGAAGTGGAGGTAAGCTTTTATGATAGAGTTTATAGGAGGGTGATTAATAGTATGGTCAGGGAATCCTTGGAACATGTCAGGGAGGACTCTCAGCCTTCTCAAGAGTATGTTAAAGCCAGAGCCGAAGCTATAGCTACTAGGGAAGTATGTGAAATGCTGGGAATTTCTTTTAAAGGGGGGCATCAGATGATAGAAGAAGAGATTTTCAGGTTGGAGTTGTTGGGGTCTGGAAAGGGTTCCAGATTATAGTTTGAGGAGCGATTTTGGGGTTGTATGCTATTAAATCAAATGTCAAGAGTAAAAATTATCACATGGAATATTAGGGGGTTGGAGAAAACTGAAAAAATCAGAGCAGTGTCAAGATTGGTTTATAGAGAAAAGCCAATCATTTTGTTACTACAGGAAACAAAACTGAATGTGTGCAGAAGTGGATTAATGAGAAAGCTTGGGGGTAATCTGCTCAGAGGTAGTTGTGTTGTTCCAGCTGATAGTTATGCAGATGGTTTGATGTGTTTGTGGAATGAGAACCTTTTTGAGGTCAGGGATCAACATAACCACAGTATGTTTATGGCACTATCAGGGAGGTTCAAGATGAGCAATTTGAATGCGTCATTATTAACGTGTATGGTCCATCAGTAGAGGCGGAAAAAGAGGAATTTTTCAGGGATTTTCTGTGTTTTGTGCAAAGTTTGAATATGCCAGTTTGCATGGGGGATTTCAATGCTTATTTGGTTCCTGAGGAGTAATGTGGATTCACACAAAATTGGCATTCGATGGAGTTGTTTAGGTCTTTTATTCAGTTATATAATTTGATGGATCAACTGTTAGTAGGGGGAGATACACATGGTGTAACAATAGAGAGGCATCTACTTGGGTAAGGCTTGATAGATTTTTGATAAGTGGTTTATTTTTACATCAATTCCTAATGTGATCCAAAAAATGCTTCCCAAATCCTTATTGGATCACAATCCAGTTCTGCTCGTAGAAGAATGTAATAATTGGGGTCCTAAGCCGTTTAGGTTTTACAATTACTTGCTGGAGGAAGATGGGTTTGTTGGGGTGGTGGAAAAATCAGTTTCAAATCCGAGGAAGGTTATGGTGGTAGGGGTTTGTTTTCACTTCTTAGAGGTACTAAACAGGTCATTAGGAATTGGCCAAGGAGTAATTACAGGGGACTCTCTGATGATATTTCAGAATTAGAAGCAAGAATTAATGGACTGGAATTGAAGATACAGGGAGGGGGGATTTCTTCCCAAGAAAGGGAACTGCTTGTTTTTTCGAGGAAGGAACTGTGGAATTTGCATAGGAAGGAGGAGAGGATTTGGTTACAAAGGTCTAGAGTGAAATGGAGTATTGAGGGGGATAAAAACACAGTTATTTCATCTGTCTGCACTGAATAGGAATAGAATTAACACCATTTCATCATTGGAGGTAGCAGAGGACGTTATTTCAGACCCGGAACAGTTGAGAGGCTTCGTTTTTGAGTATTTTAAGGATAACTATAATTCGAAATCTACCTTACAGGTGGATGGAATGGACTTGAATTTTGCTAAACTGACGGATGAGCAAAAAAACATTCTTGAAGTTAAAATCTCAGAACAGGAAGTGTGGGAGACGGTTTTTCAATCGGATAGTGCCAAAGCACCGTGGCCAGATGGTTTCACCATGGGTTTCTTTAAGAAATTCTGGTCAACTTTGAAGTCTTATATTATGAAATTTGTTGAAGATTTTTATAACGGAAGGAATTGGGAGCATGGGGTCAATCATGCATTTCTTACATTGATTCCCAATATCAGAAATCCTGAAGGTATCGAAGACTATAGACCAATAAGCTTAGTCGACAGTTTGTATAAAATAATTTCTAAAATCCTATCGAGAAGGCTTGTGTCTGCTATTAAAGATTTAGTTAGTTCATCACAGTTTGCCTTCATTCCTGAAAGACAGCTGTTGGATTGTGCCTTTTTGGCTAACGAAGTTATTGACTACTGGAGGAAAAAGGAGAAAAGGGGTGGTCTTCAAAGTGGATTTTCGAAGCCTATGATTCAGTGGAATGGCCGATCTTGTTGAGACTTCTGAGAACTATGGGTTTTGGAGATAGGTGGATTTCATGGATAGATTTTTGCTTTTCCTCAGCCTCTATCTCAGTTCTAGTCAATGGTTCTCCGACTAATGAATTTAAGTTGGGGAAAGGGTTGAGACAAGGTTGCAGTTTATCTCCTTTGTTGTTTAATATTGTTGGGGAATTACTGAATTTAATGTTGATTAAGGTTGCAGATTGTGCCCTGTTCGAAGGGTTCAGTGTTGGCAGGGAGGATAATTTGTTTCATTTGACGCACTTGCAGTTCGCAGATGATTTAATTCTATTCTGCAGAGACTCATCTACTTAGATTATGAACATTAGGTGAGTATTGAGGATTTTCAGTTTAATGACAGGCCTCCATCTTAATTTGTCCAAGAGTAAGTTGTTCGGTGTAAATTTAGATGATGATGTTCTAAAGGAATGGGCTCAAAGTGCAGGATGTGGTGTGGGGGCTTTTCCTATGACATACCTTAGGCTACCGATTGGAACTACCAGAAATTCAGAATTGTTGTGGGAACCAGTACTGCAGAAGTTCAACAACAAATTAGCAGGCTGGAAAGCTACTTCATTATCGATGGTAGGGAGATTAGTGTTGGTGAAGTCTGTTTTGTCGTCCTTGCTTATTTTTTACCTTTCGATTTTCAAAATTCCCTTAAAGATAAATCAGAAGTTGAATTCTTTGATGGCTAATTTTCTGTGGGGGGATAGTCCCATGAAGAAACGGATTCATTGGGTAAATTGGAAAATGGTGTGTCAACCGTACGAGGAGGGAGGCTTGGGAGTTTTGGACTTGTCTTTGGCTTATAGAGCGTTACTTGGGAAGTGGGTTCGGAAGTTTGCGAATGAGAAAGATTCACAGTGGAAGAAGATGATTTGTTGCAAGCACAATATTAGTAACTTGTCTCTATCAATAATAAAGCTACAAATCCTCAAGATTCATGGATATGGAGAGGAATTCGGAATAATTATGAGAAGAAGGATGATATAGGGAATTGTTTGAGGTCAAATTCAAAGATTCAAGTGGGGAATGGTAGATCAATTGAATTCTGGAATGATGTTTGGGTTAATAATTCTACTTTAAAAGAACAATTCCCTAGGATTTATGCCTTATCGATAAATAAAAGGGGATTAGTTGAGGACTTTGGTTGTTATGAAAACAATTGTTGGGTTGGAATATCCGATTAAGGAGGAATTTATGTGACTGGGAATTGGAGCAATGGATTTCTCTAATGACTTTGATCGATAATATTGTTTTGATTGATTCAGTTGAAGATTTTTTATCTTGGTCAGGGAATGAAGATGGTTTGTTCTCAGTGAAGGCTTGTAGATCAGTACTTACACGTAGGTCTGGTGGGATTTTTCAGTGGAATAAATGGGTTTGGACGGGATTGGCTCCTCTGAAAGTTGAAACGTTTTTATGGCAACTATCTCATAAAAATTAGCTGTTAGAGTGGAGTTGCAGAAAAGAGGTGTTTCCATGGAAGATTTATTATGTCCTCTATACAAAAGGAGGAAGAAACAATTCAACATCTATTCATTCTATGTCCGGTTGCCTGGGAGTTATGGAACAGGTTCATATTGATATGGGATGTGTCTACTGTTCTGCCTAAAGATCCTATGTCTTTACTCTGGTCCTGGTCTGTTTTAATGGATTCTTCTTCTATTTGGAAATTTATCCCGGGTGTTGTTTTGTGGTCACTATGGAAGGCTAGGAATTTAGTGGTTTTCGAGAATTGGAACTTTGAGAGCTCTACATTGTTCTTCATATGCAGATTCAGGCTGGCAAAATGGTTTTTAGCCAAATTTCCTAAGGCTAATATCCAGGTTGATTTATTAGTTGGGGATCCTCGGCTTGCAGACAGTCTAGTTGTTTTATCTCACAAGAGGAAGATCGATCAGTGATGGTTTCCACCTCCTCCAGATTTTTATAAATTCAATGTGGATGGGACGGTTAGAGGTGATGGCTTGCAGGGTGGTATTGGAGGTGTATTGAAAGATTCGAATGGCTCTATCTTGATTTCTTTTTCTAAGGCTGTGGGACCAGGTCCTCCTTTGCTTGCTGAGTTGAAAGCTATTAAGGAAGGCATGGATTTGTTTCTTAATTCGGGATGGGAGTTGAAGAGTAGACTTATTCTAGAGAGTGATTGTAAAACATCAGTTGATTGGATTTTGAGGCCCTTTGAGGCCCCATCGTTTTGTTGTTCTTTGGTTGGGGAATTAGGGGATTTAATTTCGGCTAAGGACATTGTGGTTAGGCTGGTCCCTAGGGCTTGTAATTGGGAGGCTGATAAGTTAGCCAAGGAGGGGATTGGTTGAAACGTTCTTTAGTGTTTTTCTGGTTATGCTTAGTCTCTTATTTCGGGTGATGTTGTATTTAAAGTCTTATGTAATTTTGGGTTATTTATATATTGAGGTACTCTTTTCTCCTTCCGCTAATTACCTCTTCTTAAGAGGAAATTATGAGGGAGGTTTTAATGAGACCTCCTATTCCTATCAAAAAAAAATCAAGAAAATGTCGTAATCGACGATGATTTTAATACAGATGACAAGCAAGCTTGGATTGATGCACAATGGTATGTATATAGATATATCTGTTATTGACAACGATAATTTACATGTATGTGAGCTATGCAGTCAAAAGTTGTCATGTTGCCCTGTGACTCAGTGAGTTCTTTCTTGTTCAGCTGGGAGCCCGACCCTGTTGCGGCTGACCCATCAAAAGGTAGCCGGAATAGAAGGAAGGTTGACATACTTGGAATGATTGTTGGCATAATTGGTTCAAAGGACCAACTTGTTAATGAATACCGTGTTATGCTTGCTGAAAACTTCTGAACAAATCGGATTATGACATTGACTAGGAGATATGGACTGTAGAACTCCTCAAGGTGTTATTGTAATCGTTCTATTCTATTTCCCCCTGTTCAATGTCTCTTTTAAAACTTGCTTTTTGGCATATTCTTGTTTTTCAGATACATTTTGGAGAGAGTAGCATGCAGAAGTGTGAAATCATGCTTAATGATTTGATTGATTCCAAGAGGACAAATACCAACATTAAAACAACCATTAATAAAACATCTCAAATAGGTATTCCCTGGTTTTGTAGAAGTTGTAGATATTGATAGCTTGGCAGCTACTTATTCTACCTTCTAACCTAATCTGTTTAACTTTTGTTGAAATTCTAAGATCCAGAATCATCAGAGGCTGGTATTTCCTTGGGTAATCTTGCTGCTACAATCATATCTTCGAATTTCTGGCATCCAATCCAGGCATGCACTTCTTGATACCGGTTCTTTTTTATGTTCATTTATTAGAAGTTACTTTGCACTTTGTTATTGGTGGTACGAAAAGGTTTAAAACGTCTTAAAAAACATTTACAATATTATTTTTCCCTTTTCACCTTTCGGCTTTAAGTTTATTATTTGTCAAAGCCAAAGTGCTCTTTTGGTGAAGATATTATTTGATCAGAGGAAGAGCTAATACATGCTAGTTAGAGCTCTGTTTGATTTGTGCGTTTACATTTTGTTATTGGTCCCTTATATTCAATTCAATTCAATTCATGCTGTTTAGAGAAGTAAAAAGCATTAAGAAGGAGCACCAATAAAAAACAGCCTAGGGAATCAATCAATTATACCAAAGAAATTGAGAGAATTGAATTTTAATCAATCTTCTTAACGTGTAACCTATCATGCCACCTTTAGTTATTCGTTTTCATTTCTCCTTTGATTTTCGTAAGGACCATATCTGTGAAGAGTGCATAACTTGACAGCGTCCTGAAATGGAGTATAATTAGAATATGGTTGGCGTCCAAAAAACTCGTAGTTTCCTTGTTGCCCATGCTTATGTTATTTATCAAAATCCATTTTTGTTAAAAGTAATCTAGTATTCTCATTACATTGGTCATTCTTTTCATTAATGTTCTGAAAATTTTCAGGATGAGGCCCTTATCATTCCTGATTCCGTTGATCAACTGCTCTCTGATTATGCAAGAAGGTTTCATGAAATCAAGACTCCTAGAAAGCTACTTTGGAAGAAAATCTTGGAACGGTCAAGGTTAGGTCTTTTAAAGTGTAATTTGTGAATGCCAATGAATGTCCTTTCTAGTATCAGTTATTCTTATTGCATTACCCATTTTCTTTCCTCCATTTTAATCACGTACCTAACATTTATGCTTATATGAATGAACTGTTCAGTTGGAGTTGCAATTGAGGACAAGGCATGCAATTTACAGTTGTCCCTGTGCATGCGCCAATAATAATGCAATTTCAGGACCAAACGAGGTACTTTCAGCAATCTTGAACACTTCGCATCTTATTGTTCATATGATAGTCGTTTGTTGTTATCACTTTCAGTTGGACCTTAAGAATCTTGCTGCTGCTACTGGGATCCTGTTGATGTGCTGAACAGGAGAATAAGTTTTTGGTTAAGTAAGGTGTGTTAAGTAATTCATGCTCTTCCATATAAAAAAATAGTTCCTGTTTCAAAATTATGAATTATCCTTTTGGCACTCAATAGCCTGTGGCTACCCCTTGATTTCAATGTGTTTTCTATCGTAATGCAAAAATGTCTGCCGCTCAAGATATTGATAAGAGTAAATTTTCCTTTGCAATTGTGGTTTGTAACAATATTAGTAAGTTGATGCAAATCTTCCTTGCTAGTGCAAGCTTTTTATTTTTCATAAGTACATATGCTGCTCTGGTTTGATTTGTTGTTGGTACAAATTTCTTTGTATTTCTTGCAAGTAGAAGCTAAAAGTTTGAAATAGGTTGAAATTTGATATTGTTTGGTTATCATAAGGAGAATCATTGGAAATTGAAGTCTATATACAAAATTATTATCCTCTCTAAATCTTCTATCCAGGGAGTTCTTACTGAATCAGTAGGAACAGATCC